CTAATACACAATTTTCCTATGAAAGGGGTTGAATGAAGTCTTTTGGGCTGTGAACAAAATACTTTTAAATGCTGATCATGAAAAAAAAAATATTGCTTGTTCAAAAATGTTTATAGCTCAATTTTAAAGTCGAGTATGAGAAATTGTAGGAACAATAAAATAATCTACATTAATACCGGATAATTTGTTTGATTCCACACGTGCCTCATGTTGCTGATTTGCCTCATTCCTAATTTACAAAAACTGTAGGTATGCAAAGTACAATATCTAATTTGGCATTTGATTGCACATTAATGAAAGTTGATTAGGAAACCAAAATATGAATCAATACTCTGGTAACTCGATATAATAAAATTCTGCAAAGCCGAGTGGCAAAATTCAACTTATTATCAAACAAATAAAGGAAGTGGTTGCTTTTTCTGTTTTTCAATCTAAGAGATGACGTTACTGCAGCGAGACTATTTTCAGGTTGCCTTCAATTACGTGGCTGCAAGTCAGATGTGCTTGGAAGCCATCGACAGTGTGAAGCTGATCCCCTTCTTCTGTCCTTCTTAGAAAACGCTAGCGGTCTGTTTCAATCCCTGACTAAAAAGGACGGCCACAGATGCCGCAAACAAACTGGCCATTTACTTTATCGTAGCTGCATCTTTCTAACAGTTGAAGCTCTAAATCACAACTTCCATAAATGCATGAGAACTTTTTTTTTCTCTCTCTCTCTCGTTTTATTGCTTAGATGCACGGTTCCAGAGCAGCATAATGGAGGAGACAAACCATATAACTTTGCAGGAATAGCAATCGTCAGGTCTGGCAAGCCGACGCCGAATTGCCAGTGTCACTTATAAATACTTGTACCAATGCACTTTCTCCATGACCTACACTAATAAGCATGTACATACGATCACAGCTCCACCATAACACACACCTGAATGTACCTGAAGAAGCCTGTGCACGCACACACACACACAGACGCAGACACCACTCACGCCAAAGCGGTGCCCTGCCACATGCTCCTCAATCGTATTACAGTGGCTCTCAGCCTGTTATGATCTCATTCCAAAAGCATTCAGCACTGCCACAAAGCAATTCCAAACACATTTCCAAAACACATTTTGCCGCGCCACAAAGTGTTACATCCATCACTGGGGGAATAAGGCGTAATAACCGACAGTCACTGTAATGGTCGATTCCCCTGCCAAGGAAATGCGAGTGTGAAGTGTGTGCGAGACTCTTTGTTGATGCCTTTCGGTGCGACGGTGCGCACGCGTATGGGTGTGTCCTTGTGCGTGTGAATGCCCAGAGAGAACTTGACCAACTGCGCTAAAGCCAGGAGCATCTCTCGTCTCTGACACCCATATTTATGTAATGACATGCTGAGGAAATAAATTATAAACCTCCATCTCCCTCCCTTTTTTTATCTTCTAGTTGCTAGAGCTTACCCATTCTTTTTTCTCATCGTCATCGCCAGCCCCATGTCTTCATTTGAAATAAAGTAACACTTCACCACGTCAGTTTGCGATTAAAACGTTCGCACGTGTCTGTCAGACGTCTTTTTTCTTCTTTTTTTTGCCCCCCTCTCGTACTTAAAGAAACGAAGTGAGGAATCACTCGAGATGTTGGCATTGCCGGTAATGGAGAGTTTCTATGTGAAGATGATGGATAACGAAAGGGGGAGAAACATAAAGAGAGAATCAAAGTGAGAATGAAACTCGACGAGATGAAACGGACAAAGTGATCAAAGAACCCAAGGAGACAGCGGTATATAATTAGAATAGAGAAAACAGCACTAAAGTTTGAGGCTGGGAAGAGAAGACAGTGGGAATGCACTGGAGGTGTGAGGAATATAAAAAAACAATGTCATGCAAATATTTGTGTGCTACTGAAATGTAGTTGGCGAGGCAGAAGATGGGAAGGTGAGAAACTCTATTGAAGTACAGTGTGAGGGAGATTTATATTCTCAAAGGGATCAATTAGCTTTTCCAACCAGGGTTCTCTGTAAAGGTACTAAGTATTCGCTAAAAAAGCAAATTACATGAATGTAAATGTGAAATTAAGATTGTGTAATATTGCATTGTGCATATGTATTGTTGTAAAACTCACCTCTATACTTTGTCAGAATATTGTCCTTGCCTTTTGCTATGATACCAAAGCTTGTCCCCAAGCCTCACCCAATGCTTAATTATCTGGATAATAAAGTGTAAGTGGTCAGAAATGTGTTGGGTGGTCCTTCTGTTGAAGGGCATTTAGTATCTAGCATGCTGAAGTGAGTGAATCTTCATGCAGACAGAGCTAATGCATAGCTTAGGATGAAATTTGGTTCACTGCTGCACCATTTTGGAAACATTTGCATATATTCTGTTGCAGTGGCACCTGCATATATGACATTTAGTGCTTTAAAGTTGCGGCACTGACATTTCTTGACATGTGTGCAGCAGTATGAGAGATGTTAAGTGATTCTAAAGTATTATTAAACATACAGCAGTGTATGTATGTATGTATGTATGTATGGGAATTTTAGCTGCTTTTCTAACGTAGCCAGTTGACTTTATATTGGAATGCTAATTAATAAGATTAATCTTCTGGCACAAAAGTCATGGTATGTATTTTTGGATGATGATTGGATTTGGATATAGCTACTGGTGATGTTTAAATAGCTCTGACTAGTTGTTAGCTAGTCAAAGAGAGCATTGCTATGTTTGGGTTTAGGACCATTTCTCAGCCAAAAAAATATGTTGAAACCAGTTCCGATTGTTAAGGAAGTGGCAAAATGATGTTTGGTTAAAATGTAAATCAAGCACATGAAGCTTATTGTCACAACAGGTAAAGGCCAAAGCAAAACCAATATGAATTTTCTGTAATCTCCACTGAATCAAAGGTGCAACAACCTTTTTGGATGGACTGAACGTCTGGTTGCAGATGTTATGTTCAGTTATCTTTTAATTTAACCAATGAAAAACTACAAAGGTAATCAGTTTCACCAATATGCTCATAAAGAATAGGCTTTAAATTATACAAAACCTTGAATGTTTGAACCAAGTTGAGCAATTTAAATGTAATACCGTCAAACACACAGACACAAAAAAAAATATGTAGACCTCTTACACACTTAAGACGAAGTAGGAAATCCCTCACTCTGAACTAAGATGGGAAAGCTGAAAGGGATTAATGTCAGGAAATTTAAAAAAAAAAAGTTCCATTAATACGAGGGATTTGGTCAAAGTGTATGTAAACCTCTAAAAACCACTGAGCCTAGTGGGTGTGTGTGGATGCAGCAGGCTGCAAAGAGGGATCTTCAAAGCCATCAGACTTGAGCACAGCCACACAAACATGCGGGATGGGAAAAAAATAAAAAAGCAATGCCTTTTCTTTGATCTATTGATGCATCCGGCAGGAGGAACAGAATACAAAAGAAAAGCCACGCGATTTTTGCAGTCGGGGCAATTTCATCAGCCTCTCTCTAACCACCGCTTGATCATGGAAAAGTGAAATGGAGCACATTAAAGCTTCGGTTGTGTTCTATCAAACATCCAATTTTTTCCCTTCCATACGTTCTTGCACGGCTTGAGCAACTGCTCCTTTTTTAGCTAAATAGACACTTTGAATAATTAACAAGGTTGGGAGTCAAATGAAACTATAATGAAAGCGTCAGATGGGAGGAAAGTGGAGGATTTAAATGCCAATAGGGAACAGCCATTTTCTTCCAGTCTTGTCATTCTGAAAAGGTCACAGTCATGCATGTCTTCCCTTCTATTTGGGTGTTTTTATTAACACACCACAGGGAAATTGCTGTGTCACAGGATAAAGTGGGATGTCTCTTTCAATGAGCTGATGGTCTGGACAGTCTTTAGGAGGAAGATATTGGCAGAGGCGGCGAGTTGTTGGTGGAGTGGCAGAATTGACGCGTGGAGATGGATGATATTTAAAAAAAAAAAAAAAACCCAACCTCGTCTCAACATGCGATTATGTTAGCTTGTTGGCGAATCAATTTTTCTCTCTCTCTGCTAATAATCTCACAAACTGGCAGGACCGACGGCATTCTCATTCACCGTGTTACGGCTTCAGAGACAATTCCTTCTGGAAATAAATTGAAAGAGAGCACTTGATAAAGTTTGATAGTACTCGTGTAATAAAGCTGCTCATCCATTTAGACGACTGACTGCTCGTGGGGCTTTCACGGCACATGACCCGCCACCTCGCAACACCTAATCATTGCCAACCTGGCCAGTTTATTTCCTGAGGATGCCATTTGGTTGCCTGTGTGCTCAGTTAAGCAGCTGCTTTCTCTAAGTTAATACTGCAGATTGGACCGCAGATGATTAAATTATGTGATAAACAATGTTCCAGGGGAGAATTTCTTTTATCCGTCACATGGACTGAAAGTATCTCGATTATCCTAAAATACGACAAGCTGTTAGGGGAGATCCTAGAATGATCTCGTGTTTTAGTCGCGCTCACACAGACAGACAGGGCGGCAGACTAAACTGTCTGTCAGAAAGTACTTTGTTTTACAGCTGAAGTCATATTACCGTGCCCCTTCGCAAAGTGATTGACAGATGGATTGAGACAGCAAGCCAAAAATAACAGAAAATACAAAGTCATCAGTCCCGCGGCAAGATGAGAACAGAGAAGGGAAAGACGATCGGCCCTTTAATGCACTTTAAGAGCTGAGTATTGTTCTTCTTTGACTTTCTTGGTGTTGAGTGAAATATTGTGGATGTTGACTGAAGGAAAAAAAACATTACAGGCAGTAGTTTCTCTAAGTATTGAGGCGTTATCGGTTCTAGATGTGCAATACATATTGCATATGCCATTATTTCAATTTTAATCCGAAGTAGGTGTGCAGGTGCAGGTAAAATTAGAAATTGTTCAGCCATCCAATACCAGTTTAGTTTTGCCTACAGTCTTGAAATCGTGCAATCCCATGTGTTCGGAAGTCAGACTAAAACTACAGAAAAGAATACGAGAAGATGGCAGTAAATGTTTCTATGGACGGTGTTGGAGAAATAGTTTGCTTGTGCAAAGTTAAAAGAGCAACAGTGACTAAGCTACTGTGTTTGAACATGGTTGATGGATAAAGCTGTCAATGGCTGCCGTCAGATTTCCAAAGAGGCAGATATTACGGACGTGCAACAAGTCTTGATGGCAGCAGACTAAATATGAATGGCACTACTCGCCCCCAAAACACAAGAAAAATCAGCTCCACTTTGCTTGCAGCAAAATGCATAAGTCGGAGGTTTTAGGGTTCTGCTGTCATAAGTGATTAGTCAAAAGAGGATCTTTTCTGTCAGTTGCGTCTGGAAGAGGAGAATGAAGCGGACGTGGAAAAGAACACCACAGCTCTCGTGCTGAAAGCCTGCAGTGTGTGAAGAGCTGGAAGAATTGAATCAAGTGTAGGCAAAAGTATGAAAATATGTCATGCCGTCTGTGAGGAACCTGAAGCTTTGATGTAATTTCCTCCAAAGTCCACCAAAGCTTTGTTTGAGACGAAGTTTTAAAATAACATTTGCATGGCTATCATGGTAATTTAACTTAAACTCTATTTATAGAATGATTAAAAAACAAAACAAAAAAAAACAAAAAACACGAATGAACCAGAAGGCAATTCCCCGTGAGGGTTGATTCCTGCTGGATTCTACTGGAAGAACTAAAGATGCTCATCTGAAGGACTTGAACAATAAGACTCCAGTAGATACTAGAAGCATTTAGCTCTTAAATTATTTTGTTTATAACATGCTTGTTTGTGCATTTTGGTAATGCAGCTACTTTTCACTGAAGGTTGAATAATTTTAGATGTGGACTCTCACGAAATGGAACAATTGGCTTGGTGACGAATGTAACGTTCTCCAGGATTCTTTGTCTTCTGCCTCTTCGATAAGCGTGTTCATTTGGCGACGAAGACAAGCAGCCTGTGGCCATTCATTAATAATAACTGTGCTGACCTCTCTCATTATGACTGTCAAATATATGCCCCTCTTTCAGCCCTGTTAGACCTTTAAAGCGTCAGTCAAACTCACCAAGTCGGCAGCGTAGCGGGACTCTGCGAGGTCGACGTAAAGCATGATGCATACGATCACCGGCATCTTGCATTTCTACAGTGAAACGTGTCCTTGATGTATGAAATCCCATCAGTTTTGTTTTCAGTGTTCAAGTACTGAGAGAGGCTACTAAAGCCTAGTGATTTGTTCCGTCATTGCACACTTGAAGGCAAGACATCCAGCAGTGGAATATAAACATTGAGGTCTCTTTCCACCTTGGATGTTTTTTTTTTTTTTTCCCAGAAAGCATAGATGGTGAAAAAGAGACTAAGTCCTACCTTGAAGTGTTTTGTGGAAGGCGTAATATATACAAGCAGTGTTGCAGAGCCTTAGGTGGTGAGCGGGCTTGCTCTTTCATATATTGAAACAGTAGAATATCAATAACTCAGCAGCTCTGAGATACCCCAGCTGATGGTTGAATGCAGAGCCCTGAGCCGATCCCGTCAGAAATCTCATGAAGATGCTAGAAATGGTCGGAGGGCATCTCGGTCCCAGCTTGAATTTTTTGGGGGTACCTAGTCTCGTAGCAAAGCTCAATTACCCTCAGTAATGAATAAACGTCCGATATTGAACGATACGTAAAAAATGCAGAAACGAAATGGTTCGACGGGAAACCAAGGCTTCGTTTCTTGCGAAGCAAACATGCGAAAGTTATTAATAAACTCTTAGTTTGGAAAATGCTTTGAAGCTTTTACAGTTGTAATCAATCAATGTCAAAAACATTATTCCACACGCTGTTGCTTTTAAAATTGAATATGTATCGCCTCAAGAGGCACAACTATTAGTCTTCATCCAGTTAGCTTTTCTCTGCATTAACGACTTGGACATTGTTTCATCGTTTTCATCTGCAAAGTCACAGAGAACTTGTCAACATGATTGTATTTGGGCCATCCAACTCATTAGTTTACAGTATTATTCTCTTTTCTAGCAAGGAGCTTATCTGTTTTAATGGAAAGAGCACTTCTTCATTGTGTGTAAGGATTAGACTCATTTGTGGTATCCTTAATTCTCAAGTGATGAATTAAACAGGTGGATAACAATTCCTCTGTTTTCTCACAATACAAATATATACATATATATAATTTTTAAATAGGACTTGTTAGATATCTGAATCTTCTAACACCAACAGTTAAACACTTTACTCTAAACCCTACCACATAAGTGGAATAGAAGCCCGTTACCATTGGTTTTAAAAGCAATATAAAATAACTGAAGTCGGAACATCCTGGCGCCGCTAAAGCATGTAGGTTGTCGCAATCTGCTTCTCCAGGCAATTACTTCAGCATCGGATTGTGTGTCACTTCAAGGCAGACTGCTGATCAAGCCCGGCGAGATAAGTGCGAAAGCAGACGTGTGGTTGACTGAGGAGGAGCGGTACCACCACATTACGCTCCGCTCTCGAGTTAAAAAAGCCTGTTTAACAAAACACAAGCCCCAACTAACTTCATCGGAAAGTCGGGGAAAATTCTGAACGCAGCAGGCATGAAACTCAACTTCCTCTGTGGGATCAGAATGTGTGAAGCAGCATGGGGAACGGGTGAGAATTGGTGAGAATAACACAGAGAAGATGTCTGTTATGGAAATAGATGAGGAGTTTGATGGTGTTTGAGTATCGTGCAAAATCTTGAACTTGACTTATTGGGTCTGTTCGTGACTGAGAATGAATGCAAAAGCTTCCCTGCTATTGCAAATGCCTGATGGCAGTTTTAGGGAATAAGTGTGACATATATTGCACATGTGTCAAACTCAAGGCCCGGGGGGAACATCATTAAGACCCTCCAGTTTTTTAACAAATCTGCAAAACTCAAAGTTCACACAAAATTCACACAAAATCTGCAGATTCCCACATTTATTTCCCCAATTTTTCTTTTTACTTCAAATTTTCCTCAAACTTTGAGTTTAAGTGACTGCTTCCTAAGCCTTCCTCGATGTCGAGCTATAGCCTGTGATCGATGCGGCGATTAATAAAAAGCCACGTTTAACATCATACATTAGCACAAATATCTTACAAATGTTTCCAAGTTGGCGCCATAAAATCTATGATTTTAATCTAAAATATATATATAAAACAATCTCAAAATTCTGGTTGGTCTGGTCAGTGTGAAAAGATGTCCAATATTATTTAATTTTAAGAAACCCTTATTGAATGCTGAGACAAACATCTCTTTACTGATATCTTAACAGTTTAGTGGGTTTTTCTCAACACATTCAGATTTTTTGATATGGCCCAAATTGAAATTGAGTTAAACATCCCTGATATATTAGCTTTTTAAGGAGTAATTAATTTTACACAAATGGCCAAGATGGTTAGGACGGTTTTCTTCTCCTTTAGGGAAATATCAGCAGCAACTTGGAATCACTCTGGTTATCATTGTTTTGATATATAAATATGTTGGGTGATGTAAAAACATCCAAGCATGACGGAAAAGCTAAACATAATAAATACATAAGGAGTCAAAACACTTTTTTTTCCCCCACACTGCTGTGAGTTTTAGAATTAATAGCTTAGCTTCTAAATACTCTGCCAGTATTTTCCAATGTTTGCACCATTCAGCTACATTTTCTTTTTCTTTTTTTTTTCTTCTTTTGCTGCAGGACACAGTTTTGTTTGTCCAACTTTTAAAGTCAAGTGATCAAAGGCTGAGAGAGGGCGCCCGGTTTTTTTTTTTTTTTTTTTTTTTTGAGATTTCAGGAGAGACAGAACAGCAAACCAGCGGCGTTTGGCCAGAGGTGTAAATAACTGAAAGCAGGAGTGGAGTTCGGGAAAGACGGCGGGGAGCGAAGGAGATGAAAAGGAGCTCGGTGAGATGACACAGACACGGTGGTTGCTCAAAGCCAGACGGGAAACCTGTGTAGAAATGCATATTTTTTGAAAGCGCTTTTAATTTGACGCCGCGCCAGCCCCCGTAACCGCTTGCCGTCTTTGCCGAAGTTTTCTGAGCACAGTCCAATCGGGTATCGGCTCAATCGTAGCCGCATGATACCGTGTCCATCATTGGCAAAACTGGGGATTCATGTAAAAGCAAACGAAAATGCCAGCGATGATTAATTGAACACTTGTTGGTTGCAGCACAAACGAGCTGACCTTATGCAACCACATGACATTTAGAGGCTGATGAGACAAATGAGAAGGAAGTGTGGAAAGCCGAAAAAACTGAGCGGAGGAACAAAAATCTATAAATGGAAAGAAAAGGAGACCAAATCCAATGCAAACATGCAAAAAAAAAAAAAGAGGAAAAGTTGGTTGTTGTTTTTTTCCTTTTTCATTTAACGATTTTGGGTCAATGAGAAACAAAAAAGAAAGTAAACCAAGGAAGACACTAAAGTGAAATGTAGTTGTAGAGGTAGAAACAACAGCTGTGGAGTTGGACTGCCTGAAATACTTCCTAAATGTTTCAGAATTGGATGTGGAAAATATGTACCGTGGCAGAAAGGCCATTGTGCTTCAAACCTTCGCTGTATTTCCAAATATCCTCAGTTGTCCCTCTTTTTCTGCCACACAGAAAATTTTCTATTATGAAGGTCCAGACAGCCAGCCATGACCTGCTGCCCTGCTTGCAGTGTCTGTTCAATGAAAAAAAAAAAGTCTTCCCAATGGAAGTGTAGAACTTTTCATTTCTATAATTAAAAATCCTTTTTACTCATCTTGTTTGGTATTGAAAAGTTCAGAGGAACTGAAGTTTGGGTTTTCGTTAACTGTAAGTAAATGTTCAAAATATCACTTTGTGTGGCAAAGTCGATTTTTATCAGTTAAAGAAATTAACTTATTAATTTTTTACCCTATATAGTTCTACCTGCTGATGAAGGAGAGGCTTATATTTGTAAAATGTTAAAGTTAAGACAAAGATAGGGAAAAAAAAACCCAAAGTCCTCAAAAACATTTATTTGCTTGCTTATCACTTTAAGTAGCTTTAGTTGCTCACGTTATTAAAAACAAATCTCTTTCTTAGTAACTTTTCCTCACTCGCGCAGCTCCTAAGCATGAGAGGTGCATAATGATGAAACTGTGGTTTTATTGAGGAAATTCAAGTATATTATGTTTTCTTCTGACATTGCTTTGAGTGTTTGCTTGATAAATAAGGCTGAGTGACTCCCCGCACAGCTAGTTTTATTCTGGTCCCCAAACTTCTGTTCTTTCATCTGTTATATGACCACAGTCAAATGGTGAAGCTTGGGTTTAAGATTTTAGCATTTTGATAGTCTTTTGTCTCTCCCTTTCTCTGCACCTTTAGTTTTTGCTTTCTTTTTCTAACATAAACAATTCATATTGATCTTTTTATTCTCTAACTTCTTACTTAATTCGACGCCCCGTGCGTTGCTCGTCTTGGTTTCTCCTTAGTTGGTTCTTTCTCTCTCTCGCGCCCCAGTTAACTCCCACCGGTTGTATTATAATCATCCATCCACCCGTCCTATCGTATTAATATGCTGTCGGCAGCGTGATTTCAGCAGTAGCTCTCTCCATTAGCTGGCACTGCATTAGTGCATTACGTCCGTGTGCACAGTGCTGCCTGTTACTCAGACGGACACATTAACAACATAATGGCAAACGACTAGCTGCATTCTAATGCTACCGAGCACGTGGGCATGCGTGTGCGCACGCACCCCTCCGAAGTTTGCTTAAATATTCATGCCGGCCCACATGAGTTAATTACATTGTCAGACTTCCGTACATGCTTGCACATACTTAAACACATACTCCACATAAACACACCTGGTTAAGGCGGGGGGGGGGAGAGGGAACCTATTAGAGTTAATATTCACCCAGTCCGAGTCCAGGAAATAATGCGAATGCTAATGCAGCGAGTAAGTCGCATGCGTTTTGCTCAGCGGGCAACACAATTCAAGAAGTGATTTTTAAAAAGTAGTGCCTGATATCTATGAAGTGGGTATAAAGTACGTCAGGAAGGTCAGGGATGAAGTTGAGAAGTTTAAAGTAC